CTGGGCTCCACCATCCTGCCTGAACCGCGCCTGCTGCCCTTGCCTCATTCACCATCCATATCGCCCCCCCCCGGCCACGCCACATCTCTACTTCGCATATCGTGTCCGTTTCCGCGCATATCTTCCCGCCCATCGCCCGCCCCTCGCTCGGCCTGCGCCTCTGCCCTCTTTAACTCCCGATCTCTCGAACCTTTCGAACTCGCCCTGCCTCAACATTACACCACCTAGCCACTGCCTCTCCCCGTCCACCTGCTGAACCTCTTCCATCTCCGTACCCCCTCCTACAGTTCCCCTTGCTCTGTTTTGTTGGTTTCCTTCCCCCCCCCCACATACAATGTGTATCTATTACATCCGCACTTGTTCAAACTCCACTTTCATCTATCTTTCCAACTACGAATACTTTCATACCCGACTGGCTTATTGTAATCTTTCCAATTCTTCGTCGCCGACTTGCCTTTCTCCAGCTCGGCCCGGCTTATTCGTTTGTCGATTGCTCTTATCTTGTGTTTAATTCACACAAACTGCACTCGTTTTCGTTGTACTTTTGTCCACTAACTTGTTACGCTCCTTAGACGTTCACGTGTATACATAGCCTTTTTCCGTTTCAAAAAATGAAAATGTCCATTGTCGATGTTCACCATTTCGTCTCGTTTTTGTCCTTCACCCCATCTTTCCTCCCCTCAGCTGAGCTTGCTGCAAGAAATGCACTCGCTTAATTTATCTCTATCATTCACACTCTAGTTGAGATAATTCCATAGCGCGCTGACGCTGCTAACGATTTCGCGTAGAAAATAGATAACGAAGCTGCGAGTGATTTTTTCTTTTCGGAATGAAGTATTACTCCGAATGTGAACTCGAAAGATGACTGAAAACGTGGGCGCGTGTCTGTTACTCGCGCGACGAAGTACGTGATATGCCACTATCCCATTTGTAAATCTTTCAGTCTCCACTATATTTTTTTGAACATCTTATTTACTTTTTTCGTCGTTTTTTGTCTTATTAATTTAAAATAGAGCTTGAATTTCATATAAAAATGTGCCCTTCCCTTTCCAAAATGGCGTATAAAATGGAGTTTCCTTTAAAATAATTTGTTTTTAACTTGGGAATTATATTTACTATTGCGGCACCGTACAATTTAAAGAGACAAGCGTAATACTCGTCGTTTCTATTGGAAATCGTTCTTAGACTGTTGAATTAGTTCTCTGAATTGTAGAATTGTACTACTCATATCGATACTCTCGCATACTTCTATTTTAAAGTAAGAGCTCTGGAAGAAAATAAAGGTAATCTCGTCTCTACAAATTATTAGTTCGCCCGCATTGGTACTTCTGTACGCAGATGTAGAATCTTCGGACTCAACCAATGAGCCGGGATATGGTCGCCCGACTAGCAGGTGGGAGCGCAGCGCGGTGTCCCACAAGGTTCCTTTTCGGGCCGGATGCCCTGGAGCGCTTGCGTCGTCTTTTGCCCCGCTCGCCCGCCCGCCCGCCGCCGGTCGTCCCGCCTGCGACTGGCACCGTCGCCTCGTCCCGCCGTCGTCCTCGTCCGTCGCCCTCTCGCGCCTCGTCCCGCGTCCCGCGCTCCCGTCCCCCGTTTCGCCTCGGCCCCGCGCGCGCGCAGCATCGCGCCCGGGCGCGTCGCAGGGGTGATTTGGGGCCGTCAGGGTAGCGTCGCCGCCTCCGCGCGGATAGCGGGGCGGTGCCAGGCGGGCCTGGCACGCTGCCCGACGCCATCCGTCCCTCAGGTGTCCGATCCTGCACACGCGGCGCGCGCGGCAGCGCAGCGGGGCTGAGGCCACGTGTTCCGCGTCCGCTCGATCCACTCCTCGCACGCCCCTCACCACACCCCCTTGCCCTACACTCTCCTCTCCTTCATACGACTGCTTTTTCCCGTACATCCGCGTTGCCTTGGCCGTGCTACGGAAGCAGTTTTTCAGACTGCGAAGGAAGAATTGTACATGCAAAAGCGGATGATATTCTTAAAACGTGTGGAAGAATTGAATTCGGATCATGGATTCTCTACCCTGATAGGTGGAGCTGCAAGGCAATATCCGTTTGAATTAATTCTGTGAGGGGATGCTTATGTGTGCAAAGCACATTGCAAGGTTGTTACATGTCATTGTGTAAAAGATTATTTGAAAATGTAATGAAACTTGAACCGAAATAAAGTTCGATAACTTTCACCCTTCATGGGCTCAAGAAATGCACATAGCTGGGAGTATTTCTCCACCGTCATATTAACATAGTACATGTAGCAACAAACTTTTAATGGAATATAAAAATATATGATATTTTAAGTGATGTGTTCCTGATTTAAATTATCCAATGATTGTATCTAACTAAAAGATATGAATAATAAATAATTTACAAAAACATTATTGTATGTGAAAATATTCAGCCATTTAACAATTTCATTAAAGGCTGCCTCATAGTAAACTGTCTCCATTATCTTGCTTATTATTTCTCCTTTAGAATTCACTGTATTTTAGTGTTTTCATTCAAAATGTGTATATACTTCTCAATTAATTTATTTTATTAGTGTGTAATTCAATTTTGTTTTGTTTCACAGAGAATTGAGTGGTATTCATCCCCTGCCCATCGAGAATTATGCTATCTGAAAGGAAAATCTGAAGTAAGTGATTTTGATTTTTTCATATAATGCAAAAGATCTGTTTTAATATATAGAAACATGTTATTTTATTATATTTCAAAAACTGAATTTGAGAAATAATTCTAGTGCTGAATGATGAATTTACTGAAAAAAATTTAAAATACAATATATATTTTTAGGATGACTGCCAAAACTACATTCGAGTTTTGGCTAAAATTGCAGACAACAAACTCCTTATATGTGGTACAAATGCATATAAGCCACTATGCAGAAACTACTTATTGAAGGTTAGTAAATAAATATTAAAAAAAAGAAAAAAGAAGACAACAGTTGTTCCTTCTTGCATATGTTTTGTTGTTTTATTATTTTATTTTTTGAATTTTTTTTTTTTTCATTCAAATGCCATGTTTTTTTATAGAATGGTGATTATGTGTTTGAAAAGGAGTATGAAGGACGTGGTTTATGCCCTTTTGATCCAGACCACAACAGCACAGCCATTTATAGTGGTAATGTATCAACATTTTTATCTTAATGTGCCTTTTTTTTAACTAGTTCCAATTTTTAAATTTATTTTTGAAAGCAACTACATGCATTTGTGTTTGATGCTCCCCCCCTGACAGAACAAAATGTAATTTAAACTTTATGAACCACACAAACCCTTTCATCTTGCACTCATACTGCTTGCATATTATATTTTGTGAATACCATTTTCATGAATTCTTGTTTTCTTAGGTGGACAGTTATATTCAGCCACAGTGGCTGATTTTTCAGGGACAGACCCACTTATTTACAGAGAACCTCTAAGAACAGAAAGATCTGATCTCAAACAACTTAATGGTCAGTATCTCTCTCTCTGGCTGTATTATCCTTCATTTAATTTTTTCTATTCAATAAACTTTTATTTTATTACACTTTTCATTGAACTTTTATTTTATTTCTTTGAGAAATAATTGAATTTTAATTTTCTTTCCAACTAGCTCCCAACTTTGTGAGCACGATGGAATATGATGATTTCATATTCTTCTTCTTTCGAGAAACTGCTGTAGAATATATCAACTGTGGGAAAGTGAGTAATAAAACTTTCAGTTTTAGAATAATTTATGAGAAATATGTTTCTAATGTCTTGATGTATAACTATTTATTGCATAAGTATAAATAAGATTGTAGAATAGCTAGATTGAAAATCATTTGGTTTGATTTATAGACTGTTTATTCTCGAGTGGCCAGAGTATGTAAACATGACAAAGGAGGACCTCATCAGTTTGGAGACAGATGGACTTCTTTTCTGAAGTCTCGGTTGAATTGTTCCGTCCCTGGGGATTATCCATTTTATTTCAATGAAATACGTAAGTTTTGCAATACTGTTATCCTAAAGTTTGTTATCAGTAGGTGCAAGAGAATACATGTTTAATTGGATGTATTTTTTCAGAATCTACAAGTGAAATAATAGAAGGCACTTATGGAGACCAAGTTCAGAAATTAATATATGGTGTTTTTGCAACTCCTGTGAATTCAATTGGTGGTTCAGCTGTATGTGCATTCAGTATAAGGTCTATTCTAGAAACATTTGAAGGGCCATTCAAAGAACAAGAAACAATGAATTCTAATTGGCTGGCTGTGCAAAGCATGAAGGTCCCTGAACCCAGACCTGGTCAATGTGTAAATGACAGCCGCACATTGCCTGATGTGTCAGTGAATTTTGTTAAATCACACACATTAATGGATGAAGCAGTACCTGCTTTCTTTGCACGTCCTATAATGATTAGGATCAGCCTTCAGTAAGTTTTGCATTTCCTATATCGATTTGGTGTATTAATCCCTTTATGAAAGTATTCATTAAGTCTAATAAATGCTTGCAGATACAGATTCACAAAGATTGCTGTGGATCAACAAGTTCGAACTCCTGATGGAAAATCCTATGATGTCCTCTTCATTGGAACAGGTAAGAAGACTAATTATATTCTGAACATGTGGTATAAGTAATTTACATGTTACATTATTTTCTTACCATGTCTTTTTTTTCAGATGATGGAAAAGTCATCAAAGCATTGAATGCTGATTCATTTGATTCTGATAAAACCGTGAATAGTGTTGTGGTGGAAGAACTTCAGGTGCTTCCACCTGGAGTTCCTGTTACAAATTTGTATGTAGTGCGTATGGATGGAGATGACAGTAAATTGGTTGTGGTATCTGATGATGAAATACAGGCCATCAAACTGCATCGATGCAACTCTGATAAAATTACTAATTGCCGGTGAGTTTAATTTCGAGTCCTATTTCACAGTTATAATTTCAGCCTCAGTTCTAAATATTTTGTTCATACAGAATATACAATAAAAGCTTTATATTTAGTTCTTTAATGTATAAAATTTTAATTTACTTGTCCAATGACAATTCTTTCTGTATTAAATTTTGCTTATTGCTTTGGTATCTTCAATCAGATGCCAGAAAAATGATTTAACTTGTTTGTTAAGAATACATATTTTGTGTTTTGTTTCAAAAAGTTTGTGAGGTTATACAGTGGAACAACAAAGAAAAGTGGAAACATTATTTTGATATGGAATTTGTTTCATCTTTCAGAGAGTGTGTAGCTCTTCAGGATCCTTATTGTGCTTGGGACACCACTGAACAAAGATGCACTGCAGTTGGATCACCTGACTGGAGTGCTGGCAAAAGGCGATTTATTCAGAATATCACCAAGGGAGAACATAAAGCATGTGGGCGTCCTGTAGCAGGTAAGGGCAATAATTGTAATTTATGAATGATGTAGATAATCGTGTAAGTACTGCAAAGAATAATATTGAATGTGAGGATGCAAGTGAAAGACAATCATACAATTTCACTCTGTGTGGTAAGTTATGCTTCATCTGATGCAAAAGATTCTCTTCAGTATTGCATTTTTGGAGCCTTATTTATATTAATGTGAACTGCTTTGTTATGGCTTATAATTTCAATATAATTTTAATGATGAAGAGTCATTACAGTAGTTTAAAATATGAAGTACTTCCTTAAGTCTATTGGATTAGTATTAAGTTGCAGGCTGTAGTGGCTAAGCATAGCGTACTTTGTATACGTAGACTAAGTAAGGTATTTGTCAGTTCAGTTTATTTCAATACAGGTAATGTGCATGACATAGTTATAGCTGTAATCTTATGGAAAATGTTTATTATCATTTTACTATTATGAAGTAATATTAGAATCTTAGAAAATGAAGTTCAGGATGAATATCAGATGTATTGCTGTATTGCTCAAGAAATTATGAAAAAGAAACTATTTTCTAAATTAAGTGACATATGTTGTCCCAGTAACAAGAAAGTTTTTTGCCGCAGTAGCTTTAGCCATATTTGTAAAAAGCAAAATATTATTTCACAATAAATTTTTCTATATACTTTGAACATACTGCAGTGAATGCAGCTTAAAATTTTTGCATGTTATCAGTAGATAGCAACAAATAGTGCCTTGCTTCGTGCATATATTTTTCAAGCTTTGCAACCCAAATCTTCCTTACAGAGGAGGTAGCGCCCGCTGTCCCGAGCCAGCAGACTACTAAAGCAAATGGTAAGTTCACAAATTTATCAGAATATAATATTTTTGTTATGGTCTTAATTATTGATAGTATCTCAGAAAGTAAAAGATTGTTAGAAGGCATGGGAATGCATGAGTAAAGTATTGCTCTACATATGCATAGTACTAAATTATGCAGTGCAATTTGCTCATTAAAGTCTCCAGTAATGCTTTTGGAGAATTATGCATCTTAAAATGTAGCATGTAAAGAAAACCTAGACCCTTATGAGTAGAAATATATTACTCTTAAAGTTTCTTAATTATCTTTTGACTGTTATCTAAGTTTATGTTTCTAATTTTGGCAACATTTTAAGTAAGAAATATAGATAAATATTTCACTCACATTGTCGTTTACATTCATTTTCATTCTGAGTGATGGTTAAAAAACCTAATGCTTATTAGACTCATATTTTAGCATTTAAAACTTGTCCATGTCTTTTATTGTGTGTATATGTGTGTACAACCATAAATAATATTGTGACTCCTGAGGAATGTCATAATTTGATTCAATTTTGGTTGTCATGACATTGATGTTTTTCACTGATGGCACTTTTTGAAGGTTACCTGTCATATTTTGAATGCTCTGATTGTATGCACAGATATTTTTATTCATAGAATTTGTGATCACATTGCAGGCATGCTGAAAACAGTGACCTGTGTATTGTTTCAATTACCTTTTCCCTTTTTAATTTATAAGACAAAGTTGTGAACCAGTCGATTAGCCAGAATGAGAAAGTGGGTGGGAAATAAATTATTATCTCTTATTAATAAATGTATATTTTTACTTGTTCTTTATTTTTCTTTCATTTATGTAGAAAATTTTATTTTGAAGAAGTTCATCCTCCATATTTCAGTATCACATCTGTAAACATCCAATACATGTGAAAATCTCCTTTAACACCACACAAGAATATTACTCAATTTGTTTGGTTGTAACCATCGTTAAAGATAACCACTTTAAACATTAAATAGTGTTGTTGTTACAACATTAATGTTCTGTCTTTCATTCATGCACTAGATGAGGAAGTTGCCACAGCAACTTGCCCTCCATGCTCGTGTGTGTGTCCCTCGCCCAGCAGTAGCTCCGAGGCCATGGTGGCTACCGGTCAGTGTATGATAACGGTTTAATTGCTCACTAACTTGCATTTGCTTCAGCAGGTGACCGGGTTTATGCAGGGAAATAACCGACTGTTTGATTTATCATGTTAGGATTTTCATGGTGAAATGGTTATCATACTATTCTTTAAACATAAATTCTCATAATGTTTTGCCTACATGGGATTTATTCATTCATTCACTCATTCAGTCAGTCAATCATTCAATCATTCTCAAGCAACTATAAGCTTCCTACCCAATATAAAATACTCCTTTTGCTTGTTTGAAGAATATCATCTGTTTTTAAAGTTAACATGTCATTTGTTAATGAAACTTTTCTAATTTAAAGTTTCCATACACTTTAAAAAGAGTCAAACCATGACTACCTGAACATTTGATCCCAATGCATTAAACAAAACAATTAACATAATTATTTTCAATGACTCATAAAATTGTGAAAATAAGTCATTTTATTTAAGACCGGAAATCCTAACCACAACCACTCTGTTCCTTCAGCCTCCTTTCTGCCCTGGAACGGGATCTGCCAGCCATGATTCTTTCTAATAATTAACTAACACTCCTTCTTAATTATTTTTATTTTGCATTTTATTAATCCTTGGTAAAAGCATGCAGTAGACTTCTTTCTCATTCTTTAAATCTTTCTTTCATATGTGTAACCTGGTATTTCCTGAGGTTGAGTATGTTATTAATGGCTAGAACTGTCCAGGGTGAAAAATTATAATCGCATGGATAGAGGTTTTTCAGCATTTATAATTGTACTTTTCGAAGATGAATGTTTATAATGTAAGTGTTTGTATTTCAAATCTATTTAGTATTTGAAATTTCTTCATTTTATGTAAAGTTTTGAAAGGTTTCCAAATTCTGTTTCTATTTTCTGATATTTAAAGAATGTCTCTATGAACATTCTAAGAATATTTTGTAAGTAGCCTAAGTATTTGGATTTCACTGAAATTAGGCACTGGCCTTTTGATCTATATTTTCCATTGATGATGCATGATGTGTTTGTAATTTTCTAACTTTCAAGTTTCAAAGGATCTAAAACAGTTTAACGATTAAAGGTTGCCTTCTTGGTGTAGATTGATTGCTTCTAGGCTACTTACTTATACTACTCTACTAACAAAGTATTTCCCAATCAAGTTAATTGGCTCAAACATTATAGATTGGTTAATGATGGGATCACTGGTCTACAGTAAGATTTTTCAATGAAGAAATACATTCTCATTTTCAAAATTTTTAAATTTCTTTTTAAAGTTTTTTCATTTCTGTTTTTTTTTTTAAAATAAGAAGACCAGTGTCTCATTCTTAACAGCTTGTTTGTTAACCTACGTGTTGACATCTGGCAGGCGATCCCGTTCAATCAAACCATCCGGGCAGCGAAATTGAACCAGACATTGACAACAATGAAATTGTGATCGAGGTGGATGAAAGCAACGTGATCCCTAACACGTTGGCAGAAATTAATCATGCAGGTAAGGTTATTGTGGATTGTCATGGAACTTCACATCGATGGTCGATGTTTCTGTATTTTGGTTTTTTCTTTGTTTTGATTGAAATCACTTATCACACCTTAATGTTCACTAAATTAAATGAATTCACATCCTGTCAAAGAAATCCCTTCACTGAACATCATTGGCAATGTGCATGGCACATGTTCATCTACACTCATTTTTTTTCTTCTTTTTATTCCAGCACTCCTTGAGTTGTGTTTTCTTTATTTTAATGATTTTTTTTCTTTAGAATGTGGTGAATATTTGTAAGAAACCCAACATTTTACAATTTATACCATTGTCCATTCTTTATTTTAATTGAAGTCTAGCACATCATTTGAATGCATCCTAGCTGTGGCCATCCAGCAATGAATGTGTTAATCTTTGGAAGTAGCAGAAAGTATGCATGAAAATAGAGTTTTGAAATGGAAAATATGCAATTGTTGTTGTTATGTTACAGGTGCAAAGCTTCCATCATCTCAAGAAAAATTGCCCATCTACACTGCTGAAACTCTGAGCATTGCTGTTGCTACTTCATGCCTTGCTGCTCTGGCAGTTGGATTTGTTTCTGGATTTCTTTTTTCTCGGCGTTGTAGAGGGGAAGATTACAGTGATATGCCCTTTCCAGATCAGCGACATCAACTCAACAGGTAATATTATATACTAACCTAATTTCTCTTACTTACACACTAACATCTTCTTTACTAACACCTCTTACATTTCACTCAATTTTCTTTGCAGACTATTGAAATAATGAATGGATCCGTTTGCAAAAGCTTTGATGATGGAGTGTAATTAAGATGTGAGTAGGAAGGTGAAAAATGAGATACCACAGCCAAATGCTGGAGAAGAATGACATAATTGTAAACATAAACAAAATGTAAAACATGGAGTATGTATACTCCCTCTCCCTGTGCATGTGGTTTCAAAATTGTGTGTTTATTCAGCACATGTCATTCATCTAATGCACACAAGCTGTGGAAAATGGCTTATCTCACCTTGCTCTCCATATCTTTACTGAACACTGCCCTTGTTAGAGCTGTTGTATGTCATAATTCACTGCAATTTTAAGATAAGGTTATGAATATATTGAAACAAACACTGAACAAAAATGTATTCATCAGGCAATGTGATGAAAAACATTGTTGTTGAGTGTTATTATAGTTTATGAAGAGGGTGGAACATGCACTGGGGTGAATTGTAACTTGACACAAATTCCTAAAATTTTTTGAGAGATGTATGCAATTCTTATGGGGCTTTATTCTGCTACCACCTTCAGTTAATGTGCTGCTTTCAGCCCTTCCCCAATACGGAGACCTTACAGATGAGACTAAGAGGCACAGGAAGAGGAAGGAGTGAAAGATTACTCAGAAAGATGGACATGGACTGTAATCAGCGTACAACATGTAAGGTGATCATAATGCAAACAATAGGCCCAGAACCAATTGTATTATAGCTACTGGCTGCAACACAAGAGGAATCCTCCTTTGCTACAGTCAATTACATTTGAATGCCTTCTTTTTTAAAAAAAGAGAGATTAAATAATTTTGTAGAGTAGTATTTCTGTTTCTTAAATTTTCTATTTTGAATATGATGGAATGGGATTTAGCCAGAAGTAAATCTGGATGTTTGTAGATGAAAACATTTTACAGTTTTTCTTTAGCTTGCTTCTGAGTAAATGACTTTCTCTATGTTCAATATTACTGCACCTTTTGTAAACCACCCCAGTGCACTGTTCATCCTAAAATTTGTGTGACTTAATGTGTATTCCTGCTTGATAGTTAATGTCATCATGAAATAATTGCTGTGAAGTTATGATTATGACTCCTGAAAATTTTACTGTAAATTATTAATAAATATTGCTTCTTTGCAAAGATGTTTTTTGATATTAAATGTACAAATTTGATGATGTTTGATTTTTTGAAGAAACAAGGTGTAACTACTTTTTCCACACTTTCCTGTATTGTACACATATTTAGGAATCTGAAACATGCAGTGGGAAATTGTATTAAAACAAATACCAGCAGCCTTCATTTCTTGATGACGTACTTTGTTAAGAATGTTACTTCTACATTTCTTTAGTGTGACATTATCGTCACTTAATAGTCTGATATGCAATCTTTTAGAATTTCTTTTTTAATATGTTTTAGTTCTAAATTAATCTGTCTGTTTACTTGAATAATTTTACATCCTTTACATTCTTATTTTGTTGTTGTGATGGTTGTTTTCTTACAATTATGTACCCTCTTACAATTATGCATCATTTAATCTTTCTTACTTTTAAGTTAATTAATCTGTTGCTAATAGTTGTTCTTGTTATTACAGGCTGACAGAAAGCAGTTTAAATGCAGATGCAGCATATCTTCCTCCCTGTGCAAACAATAAGGCAGCTATTAATCTTGTGCTCAATGTTCCACCAAAGAATGCAAACGGAAAAAATGCAAATTCCTCCGCTGAGAACAAACCCATCCAGAAGGTTAAGAAGACTTACATTTAGCAGAAAACCTTAATATCTGTATTAATGCAGACACATGTGAGTCGGTTTACAAAAACTCTGCTGAGGAATGTGTTAAGAAAAGTAAAGAAGATGTGAAGTGTCTAATGAACAATTAAGAAACAGACTTAGTTGAAGTTTGAATATACTTTGCAGTGATTAGTGATTCTGTGATCAATTGATGGTTTTGTAGTGATGACATTTTTGGCATTAGATAAAATGCCTTGTGGAACACAGGTTCTTAATGTGAAGCTTACAACATATTTCTTCAAAAGACAAGTGTACAAGAAGAAGAAAAAAGAAGGTTGCCACAAGGAATGAATTATTTTTACAAGCTATTATTCTTCGCCTTATTGTGGAGCATAAATGTTGCTTTCCAAGATGAAGAATCTTGCTTGTGTAGGAAGATCTATCATGCCGTTAATAAAGCTGACAAAAAGTATATGTACAATAAGAGAAAAATGAGTAGAAGGTTTACCTGACATGCTACATAGTTAGGTGAAATATTTGTGACATGAACTATTACGTTGCCAATAAAAAAAAGTATAAGTGCACGAAAGTGAGTGGTGAATGAGAGAGACTTATTGAATATTTCAGCAAGAGTAAGCAGTCGGACATATAAATATCAACACAAGTTAACAATTTAGAATGCACATGAATAAAAAAAGGGCTCATGCCTTACGCTAGAAAAGTGTGGTAGCATGATTCTTAAACATAATTGAAATACTGTTTTCGTAAGAACTGTAAGCATTTTGTGGTGTTGCTTGTTTTATATTGCCGACTGTAAATAGCAAATTAAATATTTGTCAACCCACCCAAACTTCCAGTATTGTTTTATGTGCAGATAGTTTTATCCGGCCTGTACAAATTAGAGCTAAGTTTCCCATTACATACAGTTCTTTATGTATGTTATTTAGATATTCACCTCAATGCTACATTATAAATATAAAAAGACTGAAGGGCTGAAAGATATTATTTGTATATAATTCATTGTATATAGTTACGTAAAGCACTGTTAATAAACATTAAATAAATTTTCATTATATTAAATATGTCAGTGTAGCAAGAGTGCTCTTCAATTTCCCAAGAAAATAAAGAAGTGTTGTTTCTCCAAAACTGAGTGTGCTTGGAAGAGCAAGTGAAGAGGACCACATAAATGTTTCCTATGCTATTAAACTGTAAAAAAAATTATTTCTATAGATTTGTATCTCTTTTTGGTTTAGTCATGTTACAAGATTCTAATAGTGTCATCCAAATAGAAAAATGATTTTTGTGAATGTTCTTGCACCATAATAGCTTTTTCTGCTGACTACTGTGAAAATTTGGAGAAGAGGACATTCACAGTTCCTCAGTGAAGAGAACTCTTTTTAAAGCACATTATCTTTGCTGCCTGTTACTTGATCCCAAGACAAAGATATGCAAAAATGTTATTATGCTCTTAGTCCTCATGACAAGAAAAAAATAAATGTAATCATATTTTATAGTTGTCAATTACATGGTCTGTTTTTAATCAATAAACTGGATTTTATTTAAAGATGTTAAGATTAAATTTGTTAATACTCTTTCACGAATTACGGAAGTTTTGTTGAGATTAAAACAAGCCTGTGAGTCTTTGAGAACTGGAAGTTCTTTGAAAATAAGTGTCTTATCTTATTGAAACGCAAATTGATGGGTTGGTAGGCATAAAAGGTGTAGCTGGTAAAATCACTATAGATACAAGAAATAAACACTGTATCTGGATACAAATATACTGTACTGTAACATAAAAGTATCTACATGCATATTCTTTATCTGTGTCTGTTATAGAGTATTCAGATACTTTTACAATTACATTTCTTATATAAGCATTTGTTTATTTATTATTTTTGACCCTGATTTTCCATTATGGCTACCCCTTGTAAATGGTGCAATGTATGATCAAATTATTGCATAAACATTTTTATTCTGAGGTAGCTTTCCTCATTTTTCCTTTACCAATCCATAAGTCCTCAAAAAAATTAAAAAATAAATAGAGTGCTTTTCTCATTCTTCGGCTTTGAGTAACTTACTAAATATGAAAGATTAATTTCATAATTCATGTATTAAAATTTTATTTGCAGCAGAATATGAATGTTAGAAATTTTTAAAGCATCACTCTTTAAAATAGGCAGATGCTCAAAGCATTTTATTTCAAAGTGACGTGTGTAATTGCTTTAAGAACATTTTCTAAAATAAAATTACTAGCATGGTGTGCATTACTGATGTATTAATTACTAAACATGGTTGTTCTATAAAGAGGTCATAAATATGAACCTTAGTTATTAAATGACAGTACAATCAACTTTTCAAGAATCTGTTCTTACCTAACACGCTTTCCTTTAAATCCATGTTTCAAAATATAAGATAATCTTACTGATTTATTATTTTAAGCTCTCTTAAATCATATATCAAAATACAATATTTCAAATTAAGTGGTTTTACAGATCAGAATCAGGGGAAGAAGAAATTACAAACTATGACCAGCATGATCAAGCACATATTAATTAATAAATCATATTTATCATAATTACATTTATTATCAACTACTAAAGTAAGAACAAAGAGAATGTTGTCATATTTCTTTCCCAAAAACATTCCTTGAAGCCTGAAAAATAAAATTTGTTTGTAGAGAAAAATTACAATATCAAAATTGTGAAAATTCTGAAATACTGAACATAACTAAAATGAAAATGATGCCTTCTCTCTTTGTTGTTGTTGTGAGAAACTTGAGATAATCCCCACAAACTTTCTACCAAATGATGTTTACCTGATGTTTACAGAATTCCTGAAAGGTTCTGATTCAGTGAAAGATTATCTGGACAGGTGATTCCTAAAGCTCCCATTAAGTTGGGGATTATTAAATTTCAATCCTTTAAGAGTCTGTAGGAAAGCACTTATTTTCTTGAAAGAAATTCTAAACTTTAGGTTGTTATGAAACTATTTGAATTGACATAAATTATTGTACATCGAAAAGCTTTTTATCAAAGTTACAACTGTAAAAAAATTTTTGATCTAGAGAAGTGAAAGACCACCTCCTTAGTGTAGGGCAGGGGCAAATCCAGGTGATTATTTTGTGTGTGTGTGGGGAGATAGATTTTTGTTAAATAATAAAAATGTATTTGTAACTATATTGCGTATTATTTGTGTTCTGTAGATATGATACCAAAAAATATTGTTTAAATAATTACATAATTCAAACATAAATAAATATTTAAATCAAATTTGCCACATAAAGGAAAGTAAACAAAAACTCTCGTCTTTGGGGGGCGGGGGGGAGGCATGGTCTCCATTGCTGCCCTCTGGATTCATCAGTGGTGTAGGGGCTAGCATGGATTTTAACGCTCTGGAGGTCCAGTGTACAATATCCTGGTGATCCTGGGAAATTTCCACTTTAGGATAAGGTCTGGAAAGAGGTGCACACAGCCTCTTGAGTACAAATTGAGGAGCTACCTAAATGTGGAGTCATTATCGAGCTAGTAAATCAAGATAGGGGGTAATGGGGGACGTTGCACTGACCTCTGCAAGTTCGTCTGGTAAAACAGATGGGGCAACCCACTCGATCAGCCTCAACTCTTCATGAGTTGTTGGGCCAAAGATGATGAAGGAAGTGAAAATATACCCAATATTAACACAAAATACAATACATAATGTATTGACGGTTATTGGAGTGGAAACAGGTACAACTCAAAGTTATTTATATAAAATTTTCATTCAATTACAATTTTAGAGCACCTGGTGCCAGTACAAAAATGTTTAGAATTTATTATTTTTACAAATGTTAATATATACTTTTTGAAGTTAAAATGTTTTTCTGAGAAAAAAAAATTGTTGCAAGAAAAACATTGACATTTTTGCAACACCCCTTAGAACAATAGATACTGATGGAAAAACAACAGGAAAGTTTAATTTTAAAAGTATTTTGAAAAGTGCCATACCTTGCGAAAAACCAGTTTCCGATGCAAAAAACTTCGGTGCAATGGTACTTTGTTAGCTAAGCCTTAAAATCAAGTCTGAATCTAGTTGACAGGAAATAAGTTTTCTATTACTAGGAAGTGAAAATTTATAGTTTTCAAATGATTCTTTGATGGTACTTTTATTCATTATTCAAATATGTATTGCCTACCACTAGTTAATTGTAAGATCATTACAATGTATATGTTAACAAAGAATTCTTAGCATACTGAAGTTCGTGTCAAACCGCAGTCCCCTGGCAGCATAGCTATTTCTACTTCCTCCTCAGGGGCCATGGGTACGTTCAGTTTCAGAAACTTTTGCCATCTTTGCCTCAGGCTACCAGGTTCTTTTCTTCCCATAGGTATTGTATCTGTTGAGATTCTAACTATTCTTTGTAGTTGCATTCTATCAATTAGCTGATTCCATTTTCTTCTATGTTGTGTTATCCATTTGATGATGGAGATGGCATTGATGTGTACCCTAGGATTGATCTCACAACTGATTTTAATATTCTTACTTTTGAGCTGCTACTCAAATACTTATTATGCCGCCCTGGATAGATTAGTAGCTAGAAATTCTGTTTTCTTTTATTATTTGTTCATTCACTTCTTTAATTATCTATCCTGAATTTGTAATCATAGGTCAACTCTTGCAGTATCTCACGATTCTACCTCTTGCAGTATTGGAAACGTTCCTCTTGTTGATTATTTCTATTTCTGTTTCTCTAAGTTATAGCTAATAGAATCTTTGCAATTGTAATACTTGTGGTTTTATTAACAAAATGTCAAATTTTAATACCTGCTAATTTTACTTAATTCATAAACCAACTGTTGTAGGTATTCTTCATTTCTGGCTACTAATACTGTATCGTCTGCGTAACAAATTATTTTTAAATTATATTTCCCCATTCTGTATCCTATTTTAGTTTGAAGATGGTTAATTATTTTATTCATTATTAGATTAAAGAATCGAGGAGTAAAGAAATTATCCTGCCATTTTCTGTTGATATTGAAACAGGCAAAGATATTATTCCCTTTTCTTTAATATTGATTTGATGATAAGTGTATACATATATACACTACAGAAAATACTGTAGGCCAGTCATATATTGATCATAAATTAAAGCAATAAGATTACATGGTACATTTTTTCTTATTTCATACTTACCTCATCCTCTTGCCTGGCTGCTAGAGTATCGGGTTGAGCCCACCCACACATTATGATGTGCCCATAAATAATTTTAATGAGCAACTCTTAAAATTTTCTAATCTAATTTATTTTTGTTGACTTTGTAACACAATATACTTTGGAACTACTCTATCGAATTTCCATATGCCCATTAAACCATATTTCCATTGATTATAAAGGATGTGTATACGACCCGATCCTCTAGCAACTGCCCAGTTGGTATGAGGTATGTATCTAAGCACAAAGTCCATTTTAAAGATTATTTAAAAAGAGAAAAAGATGAAGGCTAGCTGGTGACAGAATAGTAAAAGGGTGGAGTAGGAATTCTGGAATTCAAGAAAATATGTGCATCTTATACATCACTCTTGTACATCATGGAAGGGTTTTTATGGTTTTGTTTTTTTAATGAAAATAAATCAAATCAAATAAACAGATGATAAACCAATTTAAAACTTTATTTTGAAACTTTAAATTGTCAATACACCGAAGGAACAATTATGAACAACAAAACTTAATTGCAATAAACATGCTGTCAAGAATTTGATCAAAATAGGCAACCCTCACAGTCAATCACATTAGCATCCCATGGGTTGCCTTCTCATTGCCTCATCAGGATATTGTTACCCAGAATCTCCCCCAGCCCCAAAACATATCTATGTTAAAAACAATATTTTTCTTTCAATATCATCAGAAATGCAATTGAAAACTTCCTTAAAAATATCAAAAACATTTAAAATATACTGTAATTGTAAAATATATGAATAAAGATACAAAGAAATAAATTATTTTCAAAATTTAAAGAAAAGCACATACTTTAAAAGCCAAGAATAAATATAAATATCATGGGGGGGGGGGGAAATATACGAATGTATTTTTGTAGAGGCAAATTGAAATGCAAAAGATATTTCATTACCACAGTAAATTGAAGGAAATAATTATGATTACAATAGTGTTCGTTAGCTTCAATACTGCTCTACAAGAACAAATACAATTATGATACACTTTGGGAATAGCCAAGATTTTCATGAGAGGGAGAGAGATTATTGAGTAGTTTATTATTATCACTTATATTTTATATTTGTTAACATTAACATTGACATTACTTATTACAGTTATTACTATTGAGTGGAAGTGATGTAATAATTAAATTAGTAATCAAATTCTATACAGTTTCCTATAGGAAAAAGCTCTTTCATGAAACAATTTAAATTTTTAAAACAAGGTGATAATCAACAAATGATTTTGTTAAAATTAACTTTTTTAAAATTATTATTAATAAGAAACCGAAATAAATCTTTATTTTCTTTAAATGAAGAAATCAATACATAAATTTAAAAAAAAAAAACTCGCACTTTTATTTTTCTAATATAATAATTTTAATAACCCTAAAGTTGTAGTAGTCGTAAAAGTATAAATGAAGAAACAATTATTTATCACAAGTATTAGAAAATTTCTGAAAGTGTCAATTCTTAAACAATAATTTCTTAAGTTAGAGATTCCTTTTAAAATGCAATTTATCCTTCAATATTAAATTTTTAAATAATTTCATGTAATTACTAGTATTTTTCTCATCATTTTAAGTTATATATTAGAATTACCATGACATTAAGAATAAATTATAGAAATTTAAATAGATTGCTTCTGGAACACAAACTGATGGTGTTAGAGAATCCATCTCACCTCAGAATCTATAGCATTGAGTTTAAATCACACTAGAGGTAAGTAGTTTTTCCTTTAAATTGTCTTTAAGATTATATCGCAATATATTGAAGTCAAAAGCAGAAAGTCTTTTTCAGTTCAGCATTTTAATTTTCAAACAATTTAAGATATGTATTTTTTTGAAATCTCTTGAAATTCAGTTGGTTGTTTCTTCAAGTAATGGCTGAGTTTTAGTAAGATAATCTTTGCAATAATGTACTATTGTGTAGCTGTTACTTATATTTCAAGGAATGTAGCACCAGTAGTTTTTTTTAGTAGCTTATTAATTCATAGTTAATGGTTCTATACATCACTGTGTCAATACATCCAGAGTGGTCCCTGGTGCAAGTTGTTCTTCCAGAAAGAAATGAAAAAGATGGCACTGTTTATTCAAAGAATTAAACATCAAATAACACTGGCTTACAATATTTCTGGAAGATGGGAAAGGCGTCATCAGTCTGTCTGTGTGCTACACGCAAAATTCCCGGGATTCTTTGCTGACCGATTTGACATACTATTCCGCAGTGCCTGAAGGAAAAAAAAGTTATTTCGCATTGAATTACGTCTTCATTTTCTCTTTGTTTATTATAAACACTTAGTGTAACCTTCTTTAATTATGTCTTTCGTCTTTTTTATCTAATTTTGATTTTTTTATGTCTTTATGTAATTTTGATTTTGGCTAGCTCAGATTTTAACATAAGACATAACAATACTTACA